TCAGCAGTCAACCCTAATTTCTTTCCTTCCCAGGACCATTGGCTGCTATCCATGTATAACCGGTTTGAAGCTCTTTTTTTCTGACCAGGACTCCTTTTATCTTCTGCTGCTCTGTCTCTCTGGGATCCTTTATCCTGAGGAAGAAACTTCTCAGAGATAGAGAAGATGAAGATTATTATCTCATCATGGGGTATTGACTGGGCACTGACTGTATGGAAGGCCAGGTTCTTGGTCCTGAGAAGAAAGGGCTGGGGTGGGGAGGGGCCTGAAATTCAGGTGAACTCAACAAGCAAAGGACCCCAGGACAGCATGCATGTGGTGGGAGCCACAGTGTCATTGAGGAGGACACAGTCTGACTCTCATGCTTCTCAGTCATTCCCTGGTCATAATTAGGGGGCAGCAGAAGAACACCACGCAGGAACTGGTGTGTCCTTCATGGGGAGGGCCCTGAGTCTGGGCCTTGTGTCCCTGTGGTGGCCTGAGACTCATGCAGACATGGAGAAGACCCCTGTGTTGAGCTGGGAAGGTCTGGTCCTGTGGGCAGAGCAGCCTGGGAAAGTTTCTAAAGGGCTGGGAGGGATTTCTTGGAATCAGGTTTGTGGTCGCCCCCCCCCCCGCCACCGCCCAGCATAATGAGCAGTAGGAAAGGCTCTGTTCCTTCTGGGGACTGTTGCTATCCTTGAGCCCAGCTGTCTGCTCTGAGGCCCAGAGCTGTGGGCTCATCCTGCCTCCTTTCCATTGATGTTCACCTGCCTCCTGCCCTGTGTCTCCCCAGCTCTGAGGAAATGAAGGATTGCTGCAGGGGCTCTTTGCTCTCCCATCTCCCCTTCCTGCTTCTCCTCTTCCAGCTGCCCGCTGGGGGTTCTGCAGGTGAGTGTGTCCCCTCCCTCTTCCTGTGTCTCCCTGGGGTGGGTGAGAGACCCCAAGACTGTTAAAACCTGCCCCCACTGCACTCTCCAGTCCTCTAACAGATGTAGATAGTATGGGGTTGTGGTATTTACTACTCCCTGTCTCCAGGACGGATGGCTATTGGTGGAGGCCCTGGCTTTAGAGAGATTCTGGTGATC